CTAAACTAAGTCTCTGACTGCATTGAAGCATGGGGCTTAAGATTTGCCATGCTTCAATTGTTGCAGGTTAGTTCGCAAGCTTTGACCAAAAAAACACAATTGAAGTTCAGTGAATCAAACATGACATGAAGTCTGATTTTACATTTAAATTTGTTAATAGTTTGATAAAAAATCTGGGAAAATATTATTAATAAAGCACGATTTCAGTACCGTACCTGAGCATTGACTTAAAGGGACAAGTTCTCCATCAGTTTGACCAATCATACCTTAGTCTCAGAAACATGATTATTTTTAGCTAAGCTATTCTGTAATAGTGTTCACAGCTCACCTTAAAATTTAAGTCTTGAAATCTATGTGTGTCCAGATTTATCGAAGATGTTGGTAATACTTCTGAAGACTATTTAAAACATATTATAAATAAAAACCCAAATCAATCACTGAAAATGGTGAACTATGCACTGAAATTTATTTGTTGCAGAAATATGACAGCCTAAATTTCAATACTGTTTGTTACTAAATATAGTAACTAACAGAATGATAATTACAGACCTAATGTAACAGCTTGTTTTTCTATGGAAGATTTTTTCTATAAATAATTTCAATTAACATAGCTTGCTCATTTGATTCATTGATTGTGTGTAAATAAAATATAGAAAAGAAACCAGAATGTCAGCCGATTTGTGTACAATCATGCCAAGATAGATTAGTGCTAGGCTTGTTATTGATTACTAAATTGAGATTGATTATCGATGGCAGATCAATAATCAATTAATAATCAAAATAATTCAGTTGAGAAACCCTGTAAATACTAAATTAAAAAAAATTGAAATTCTTAATTTCATGGGTTATTTTTGCATCATAGAATATATGAGTATATTCTTGCTTTGATTGGTTATTATAGTTTATTGTGGGTAAGTTATGTGCTGAAGGGAACCTATGTGAAAGAGATTACTACTTGTTAACGGGTACATATAACTTTGACATATAATTGATTATGATATTTGAAAATCAATAATCAAAATTATAAATTCTTAGCAATGATAGTCAATTATTTCAATCATTTTACCCAGCCATAGATACAATGTGTATTGAGACACAATACAATACAATATTATTTGTCTTCCAGGTCACCCGAAATCTTTATCCATTATTGTTTTGTTTTTGTTTCATTCCCTGAAGTCTGGAAAACACTTTTCAAAATGTAAGTTCCCAACTTTCTTGTCTTACTGCAATCATCTTGCCTATTAAATGGCTTTTAGAGAGGTTTTCTAAATTCTTGTATTGGGGACAATTGCGTCTAGTCGTCCGGATGGGACAATAAACCGAGGCCTTGTTTGCAACAGGCTGTGCTCCCCAAACAGTTGAAATCAAAAAAGAGCAGACTAATGCTGCTGTTCTGGCAAATTTTCCCTCATTGCATCCTACATGGCGTTGCCTGTCTTAATTAGCCCACATGGTGCAAAAAGTAGGACATAAAACTCCATTCATTTCATTTCATTTTTGGGACACTTATAGCATCAATTTGCACCATTCCAATTTTCAATCAGACGTCTGTGGTTCCTGCAATAAGTGTAATCACAAAACACTCCCAATTGTACCCCCACTTTATTTGAAATATGTGCCAGAATGCACCAAGTCAATCCAAAGTTTAATGAGAGGGTTTGCAACTATGCCTCTTCCACAGAATTGCAGCATTTTTAATTCAGTTTCCACAGTTGTACCCCATGATTCAATCTGTACCCCCAATCTCAGGAGGCTGCCAAAACCACTTGTTCTTATTAATTAATATTTGGTGTTTTATTAGGAATCGTGGGTATTCAGGGTCAAACTATGACCGTCATGTTGAGAATACCAACACCTCTACTCTACACAGAATGAAAGAAACATACTGGACAACAAAACAGGCTGTTATTAAAAAACTAGGCAAGAAGGAAGATGAACATGTGGTAGCTTCTGACTCACAATTAGACGCCAAGTTAGAGGTAAGTTATATTTTCATTCTTTCATATTTCTTCCTGGCATAATTTGAGATGATAGGTTGTACCTGTTAAATATCCTTCGACAACTGGAAATCAAAATTACCCTCATTGTACACTGCATGGCTTTGCCAGTCTTCATTAGCCCAGTTAGGTGCAGAAAAGTAGAACATAAAACTCCATTAATTTCTTTTCATTAAGAATGTATGGTGATCTCCATTGCCTATAGATTTGGAGAGCAATTTTTTTGTAAGAGTAATCATTAGACAATTTTTTAGCTCTAGTCAAACATTACTGGCAATATAACTGTATCAATGATCCTGCAAGTCTTTCATTGTATTTCGTATTCTCTGAATGTAGGTATTTAAAGCAATCCAGAGATCTAGTATGGAATTATTACGAGTCATAGAAAGATATCAAGATAGACTGTGTGGTATGTGGTATTTAAAAACATAACTATGACAGTAAGCCAGTCTGGAGGATGTACTGAAAAGCTTTGTTGATAAACGACAAGCTAACTTGAAGTGCATCCTGTCCAAACCACGTCCCCAGTTGTCATACTTCCTCAAGACTGTAGTAATACAAATGATGTATTCATAGCTATATATTGTCCAATCAAAA